ATTTGTTATTTGGAAATAACAATTTTAAAATTGGTTAAACTTTTTTCTAGAAGCACGTGCTCGCGACAGTATTTTAATCTGAGGGGTTCTTAGCATGCAACAATAAAAAAAATCAATATCTAGATAAATCTATCTCATATTTAAAATTTGCAAGCTCTCACCCAAAATTGTATTTGCATTTTGTCAATTACTTCTTTCAAACTGAGAATAGAAACAAGCTTGTTGTAGGTCTAAAATGTTCATGTCAAGGGCTACAAAGAATTAGCTAAGTAAGTTATGCACAAAGATTTCAAAGAATTCAAAGATGATCCAGTTTTCAAAATAAATGCAACTCTTATAGTTAAAGCTGTGTGGACAGGGGTGTATTGGAGGCTTAGTCCATAGGGAATGAACTTTTGGCAAAGATTTTACACATTACACATGACTAATAACTTAAAATGGACAAATTCTTAAATGTTAAGAAAACGAATATAAAAGTAAGTTTATTATAAAAGGCTCAGGGCCAGGGGGACCTAGGGGGGGCCGTCTATGTGGGGCCTGGGCCACTGTGTCTGGGTCTTTATTATATAAAGTTGTAATCTTTAAAATAGAAAAATGTCCCTGACTGGAAATCAGAAATGCAGAAGTTTGAAAATCAAATGAGAAACTCGGCCAAATTATCATTTATCAGCACAAGGTAAAAGAATAAACACTTGAAATGACTACAGGGACTACAGGGACTACGGCTCACGTACAAAAGGTAGAATTACAAAAGGTAGAATTACAGAAGGTAGAATGACAAAAGGTAGAATGACAAAAGGTAGAAAAATCAAAAGGTAGAACGATCAAAAGGTAGAATAAACAAAAGGTAGAACGTTCAAAAGGTAGAATTACAAAAGGTAGAACGTGTATGAAGGTCGAATTTTTTTATTATTGAGAAGGAAGAAAAGTTTCTAATTTTTAAAAGAAAATCCGCGAATTAAAAAAAAAAAAATTCTCAAAACTGCATTTCTCGGTTGAATTCAGCATGGAGAGGTTGGTCAACTATGGGGTGAATCAAAAGAAGAAAAGAACATTGATTGACGACCAGAAATATGAATATAATTTTGAGAAAATTAAGAATGGAACAGAGTTCTGCCAGTGGTGCAAACAGCACTGANTTTTTTGCATTATTGATTTGAACTGTCTGAAGTTTAATGTCATGTTTAAATGTCAGAACACACGAGGCTCCAGAGAGGCCTGTAACTGGGTGGGGGTGGGGGGGGGGCAGGGAATATGTGCCCCTCCCCTTTTCCATTAATATTCAGTTATTACTGTAATTAGAATTGTAAGTTGAATATTCTTTTTTGGCGCTAACTACAATATTATTGTGCAGTGTGCCCCCCCCTCCCCTCCACCCCTTTAGAATCTCCTAGTTATATGCCTGGCTCCAAGTCCACCTCGAATCAAACCTACAGTTTAATTCATGCTTTGCTAGACTTTCAAACGATGCATTTTTATCCTATCCTGTAAACCAGAAAACCAAATTCACCAACCAAACCAAACCAAAATAATGTTATAACAGCTTTATTTTTCGTTATGCAATTCACGTAGTGACGTAATTGACCTAAATTTTACGTAATTTACGTTCTGAGCTAAAAACCTCAGAATTGTGGATATTTCGAAATCAATGCTTAAGATATGTTTTTCTAATTGATCTTAAGGTTAATTAAACTTTTATTTCATATCCTGAAAATTGTACAAAATTCAACAAATAGAGTGGTGTATGCTGAATTCTGAACCAGCCTAAAACAGATCTGTAATTTTGCGCGCCATTTTATGAGAGCACGCTTATTGGTCAGAATCTGGAAGGGAAGGGATATCCAAAAAAAGAGAAGATTAAGAAGGAAATTCCAAATTGGATAATTGGATTAAGCGATCGGGATTAAGGGTATCCAATTCTAAAGTTGCCAGCTAAGAGCTGAAAACTTAGAATGTGATATCCTTAACCCGATCTGTTAATTAATCTGGAGATTAAATTCATGAGGAGAACAAGCAAAATTTAATCAGAGCTGGGAACTTTAGAATGGATAACCTATAATCCCAACTACTTGATCCGAATATTCACTGTGGAAACTTTTAATTTTATTCCTTAACCCACTCTTTTTCTCTCTCTTTGGATATCCGTACATTATTTTTTCCAATGAGAGTGCCTAGCATTGACCAATGACAGCCTTGAAAATAAATTCTATCCCATAGAAATCCGCAATTTCTAACAAATCAAGAATTTGTTGTCAGCCATTTTGTATATTAATTGGTGAAGAACAATATTTAGTAATACGTTTGAGATTCTTTTGCAACCACTTTTAACTAATGAATTAATAAATAAATGGGTGAGAAATTAATTTAAGGCCAGTCAGGAAAACGAACCAATCTGGCGTTCTTAGAATCCAAGAATCCACTTTGTTGTTCTAGATATTTAATCCCAAGACTAACATAATCTCGAGATTATGTTAGTCTCGAGCTTAGCAACAACAGATGATTAAGCATTAATCCTGATATCCACCATTCTAAAGTTCCCAGCTCAGGAGACAGTGACGTAAATAAGGGGGGTTATTGGGGTTACTTACCCCCCCTTAGAATCCTTGGGGTAATTACCCCCCCTAGAATCTTAGGGGTAAATACCCCACCTCCCCCCTAGAATCTTTGGGACACAAACATCCCGGTTTAGTAACTTGATCTCCATTCTCCATGTCCATGATTACCATTAAAAGAAAAAATGTAAAAAAAAATTTTTGCGCTTCGTGCAGATAATCTTACTCAATCAAAAGTAACATCGATAAATTTTACCCAAAAATCGAGTTTTTTCAATGCAGTAGCGTACTTGCACTATACGTCAAATTAAGTATAAAGCTCTTCCGGGGGGGGGGTTAAAATGTTAAAAGATCAAGATTATTAAGAATTGAATTTTAAAAAGTAAGATATTTCTCTTTTAATATAGTGAAATTAACATATATACCTAGTACATTGACGACAAGAAAATTTTAGAAATTAGAAATTAGAATATAAACAAATACAATAATTTTTCAAAGTTTTGCAGAGTAGCTTTTCTAAAGATTTAAAAAAGTTACATATTTTTCCTCTTAGAGTAAAACTATTTTTTATGTTACTTAAAATAAATTCAGTTTTTTTACAGATCTTTGTAGTTAATGTAAAATGAATGACTATAATGAAGGATATAAAACAAGGTGAAAGCTGAAAGGTAGAAAATGAAGCCTTTATTTTTGATGGAGTTTGTAAATGCCAGTTCTGGCATTTCTAAATGAGTGGAAAATGCAAATCATCATGATATTTTTCTAGAGGGGGTTTTAAAAAATCTAGGGAGGGGGGGGTAAAAATTTTTTATCTGGACAAATTAAGCCTGTAAATAACCGAACTAAGCTTAAAGGTTTTGTTACGAGACTATGGATGGGTCAACCTACCGAACAATCCAGAGATGATTTCAAGGATGTACAGGAAGTGGAAGTCTTAAGCTAAAAAACTTCCAGAAGAAATTCTGCGGAGAAATCAAAAAATTCGACGCGCTTCGCACGCCTAATTAAATAAAATTTACCCCCCTACAGAATCCTTATTTACGCCCCTGTCAGGAGATTAAGAAAAAGAGTGGATCAAGCATTAATCCCGATATCCACCATTCTAAAGTTCTGTTCACATAAGTTTAATCAGGTGTTATAATGTTGGATAAAAGTTACGACTGTGCTGTTACTGTAGAACCAATAATTTGTTCTTCTATCCCTTAGTAAGTATTAAATAAACTGATAATATAAAAAATCTGCCTTTAAGAGAAGCTAAACCAAATTTAATGAATTTGAGGGTTCGTTACAACCGTTTTAAATCCTCATAAATCATTAACTTTCAATCGGTGATTCAGGATTTGAATCGGGTGGGTAGTTCAACGATTTATATTCAATTTATCAAATTTCCCTTTTCCTCTGTCTTTAGATCCCTATAATGTAAACAGTTTTGATGTTTAATTTGACTATTTTAATCATGATAGCAAATAGATTATCATGTACAATAGATGGCAACACTCAGAACAGAGAAATGGACAAATTATACGAGACGTCACAAGCGTCAAATATAACAAGGAAAAATAAATTTCTCACATTAGCTTACATATTTTCTAAGATTAAATAAAAAAGTGTAAAAACAGAAAATAAAGAAAACATAAAATTGCACTTTTTTACCGTAAAATAAGCACTTTATTCCAAAATTATCACTATTATTGATAATTTTGTCGGACACAAAAACTAGGTTGACACTTGTGATGTCAGAGTACAGCTGTACTGAGAGTGTACAAATTCTACGTTGCCATCTATTGTACTAGAATCTATTTGGCAGAAGGTTTATAAGTGAATCAGGTTCAGGAAATGTATTGGGGAGAAATTTTATTTGAAGGAAAGCGTTTAGTTCTTTGTTTCTTTTGCTAATAAAACAGTTCCTGTCAAAATTCTCATGTTAGAAAATAAGACTACTGTTTATTATAAAGAATATTTAAAAACTAGGCTTTAAAATTTAGGACACTTCGCCCTCATCTTCTAATACTTAGGGTCCGATCGGTTCGGCTGTTTTGACGTTTATTAGATACAAACGGACATACAAACAGACAGCAGGGCCAACATACTTGACATCAGCTTTGATGGCTTCATATCTCCAGACAATGGTAAACTAGAGATAGCCTCATACCTCTGGAAATCATCCAGGGCGAAAAGCTTCAACAAACGTTGCTTCAAGGCTTCATAAGGTTCAGAGGATGGAGGGAACTTGATAAGATCCAGAACTTGGTTGGCAGTCTCTTGATTGAAAGACGATACGCAGTAATAGAACTTCGTGAGGCTGACAATCACTGACTTGAGCGCAAACTGGGCTTCAACTTGAACGAACCAGGCTTCTGCGGAATCTGGCCAAAAAGCTGGAACTTTAACTGACACTGTGTTTAAAAGGTCTAAAGAGCTTGGTTCGGCTCATACTGAACAATACCNTGGGGGCGGATACTGTGAGGTACATATAAACTGCAAATCTTATTTTATTGTCCAAGTGCAGATTTGTGTGAATTTTCATTTAACGTATCGTGATGCAGGAGTCGGCGGTAATATCAATACATTGAAGACGACTTTTCTATGAAAGTTATGACTTTTAACACGCTTTTTTCAAATTACAAGTTTACAAGTAAACCAAGATAAGCTGTTATTTGACAGCTTCTCCCCCGCCCCCTAGTTTATGTGTATCCATGCTGCTTGAAAGCATGGTAGAAATCAAAATTGAAATCAAAAGTCGTCTTTATTGTATTGACATATACGACGACGACTGATTATAACTGATTAAGCAATTGATGATGTTGATTAATGATATCTAAAGAGATTAAGCTTCCAACAGTTCTGATCTTTTTTAGTAAAATGCATGAACAAATAAAATAACCCGAGGCCGGACTTAAAGAATTTGAGCCGCGGCTTAAATCCGCCAAAAACCGGGTTAAATTAAGCGCCGGCTTAGATCTTGAAACATTTGATACAATTTTAAGTGGAACCAACCATATTTAAACCGCGGCTTAAATTTAAACCGCCGCTCAAATTCTCTNCCGGCTTAAATCTTTAAACATTTGATACAATTTTAAGTGGAACCAACCATATTTAATCCGCGGCTTAAATTTAAACCGCCGCATAAATTCTTTAAATTCGGCCAATGGTTGAAAATACAAAATAAAACATTAAGTTTATTTAAGGATGAAGATGAAAAAAAGAAGAAAAGTCCTCCAGACCTCTTACAGCTCAGCCATATGTAAATATTAATTTTAGTATTCTTAATTTTAAATATAAAGATATGTTAAAAAATACTTTGAAAGAATTTGATAATTGTTAAAGTAGTTGTACACAATTTTAAGGTCTAAAAATGCGCTAATTTCCCCCAAAAAAATTTGCAGAGAGGTTGGTTATTTTACTTAATTGTCCCAAGGGACGTTAAGCTACCTTACGTCCCTCTGTTGGGGAAATCATAGGTCGGTAATGTTGGTCAAAAAAGACGGTAAAAAATTAAATATATTTATAATTTCAATATAAAAGATATTGAAACTTTTAAAATAAAAAATATTCATAATTTAAAAATAAAAGATATTGATAATAAAGAATAAATGATAAATGAAAGTGAAAATAAGAAAATTATTTAAATATAAAAAACCACAAATATTATAATGAAGTTACTCTTAAAGGATACGACTGTACTGAATTTATACTGTCGGCTTCCTTAGAGTTAAAATTCCCATTAACTGTAAACTTGTTTCTTCCTTTGCACAATCATTATAGGCCACCAAAAGACTATATTTAGAGCAGAGGACTTAATTTAACCTTTGGATTTAAAGATTTTCATGTCGTCTTTTCAGTCTCATCCTTTGTGGGTAACCCTGCACCCACCAAACCAAACGATGTTAAATTACGTTTATATACGATACAATTATGTTGAAATACAGGGCTTCAGTTGGTAAATAGTTTTAAATGTCTTCTTCCATAATTTTTTAAGTTGTTTGATATCAAAGATAATAATAAAAATATTATATGGGAGTCATGTTATAATATAATTGATTTCAAAGTAAAATATATTCAAACAAAGATTTTTTTTAACGAAATAAACTGCAAAAAGCCTTTAAATATCTATTACAGAATATGGAAGACGACATTCATAACTATTTATCAACTGTCATGTTTCGTGGGGCACCCTACCCTGTATGTTAAAATACGACAAAAGAGCATCATTAGTGTTTATTAAGCTGATATTACTAATTTTTAGGTATGGAAACAGACTTGTTAAAACCATGAGTCGGAGTCAGTCTAGTTTATCAGATAGTCGTGTTCTGGTAAACACGTGTTCCAGGTACGGTATTGTATATCAGATAGTCGTGTTCTGGTAAACACGTGTTCCAGGTACAGTATTGTATATCAGATAGTCGTGTTCTGGTAAACACGTGTTCTAGATACAGTATTGTATATCAGATAGTCGTGTTCTGGTAAACACGTGTTCCAGGTACAGTATTTTACATCAGAAAGTCGTGTTCTGGTAAACACGTGTTCCAGGTACATTATTGAATATCAGATAGTCAAGGTACAGCATTGTTTATCAGATAGTCGTGTTCTGGTAAACACGTGTTCATCTCTAAAGTCTCATCCTTTGTGGGTATAATTATTTGGTACCTTCCAGCATAACCTAAATATCTAAACAGTCCCTTGAATGCCCTGTTTATCTTTAGGCCCAGCCGACCCCGTCCTGTATCAGATACCCAGGCTCCCCAGCTGGTCAACCTGGGTAACCTGCTCCCATATCAGATAGTCGTGTTCTGGTAAACACATGTTCAAGGAACAGTATTCTATTTCAGATAAAATCGTGCTTCGGTAAACACATGTTCAAGGTACGGCATCGTTTATCAGATAGTCGTGTTCTGGTAAACACATGTTCAAGGTACAGTAGTGTTTATCATATATAGTCGTGTTCTGGTAAACACGTGTTCAAGGTACAGCATTGTTTATCAGATAGTCGTGTTCTGGTAAACATGTGTTCCAGGTACAGCATTGTTTATCAGATAGTCGTGTTTTGGTAAACACGTGCTCCAGGTATAGTATTGTATATCAGATAGTCGTGTTCTGGTAAACACGTGTTTATCTCTAAAGTCTCATCCTTTGTGGGAATAATTATTTGGTACCTTCCAACATAACCTAAATATCAAAACAGCCCCTTGAATGCCCTGTTTATCTTTAGGCCCAGCCGACCCCGTCCTGTATCAGATACCCAGGCTCCCCAGCAGGTCAACCTGGGTAACCTCCTCCCTTCAACCCTACCCAGGAAACTTGAACCTCTAGACAGGAAACCAGATGTACCTGATGTTAGGTAATATTAAAGGGACTGTCTACTAAATTGCAAGGAATCCTTTAAGATGTGCATGAGCAGTTTACATGAAGGTAGCCTTAAAACCTTCATCTGAATTCCAATGTGATTAAGAAAAGATTAATTCTGCCAATTTCCGTCTATGCTACTTTCCTTTTAAAGAGTGTGTGCAATTGCAAATTATCAATTATCAGATAGCAAAACAATAATTTCATAATTAATTGTGCTCAGGTTTGAAGGATCTATCTAGGGTTTCCAAATTTTCTATCTATCTCTTTCGCGAAATTTCGTTCAGGCAACGAACAAGTGAACGAAAACAAAAATGTGAGTCCATTTATGCGAAAATTTTCAATAATTTTTTTGCGAAATTTATTCAAGATTTTTCCAAAGTTTAAAATCGTATTTTTTTACCAAAAATTTTTAAAGCCCATTTTCGCGAAATTTTAACCTTATTTTACTAACATTTTGATAAATTATTTAGAATTTTTGAATTTTCGTTTAAACTTTATTTTTAAGAACTGTTTAGTTGAAATCAAAGATGATAACTAAATTTGCTGATTTTAACATCCCTTACACAGAGCAGTCGTTGCAGAAATATTTAAATAAGATTTAACTCTCTGAGATTATTTAACAAAGATTCACATCAAACATGATATTTAGTCATTTTTAAATCGTCATGTTCAGTTGAACACCCTTTAATACAATAAACCCCTTAATAAAGAATACATCGACAGAATTCATCAAATGTCGTATCCTTCACTTTCTGATAATGGAATGTTGCAGATATTTAGTTTTTTAATTAAATGATTATATGGAACACTTTAAAACTGTTCCCGCATATTCATGGCTATTTATTTATTTTTGCAAATACTGAAATTTACTGAATATAGTAAAACTCATTGAAAATTTTCAAGACGACATTTGATAAATTCTTCCGATGTATTCGTTATTAAGGGTTTCACTGTAGATTAACAGTATTTACACATACTAACAATCTAGATAATTTGTCTGCATAATAAATTAACTTTTATGGTTTTAACAAGAATCATGAACCATTCATTCTATATCACATCAAAACCCACAAAAGATTAGATTTAAGAAACAACAGTCAGAATTTGTTGGGTCTTCGTTTATTATTGAATGTTCCTTGCAGCTTTACATTTTTGTTTCCTTGCCAAATCATTGAATATACCATTCACCAACTATTTCCAAGATAGAAAAGCCAACTTCAACCTTCAGATCTTCCTGGCTGGGCTATATTTGTCTCATTTTGGCTGGGTTTTGATTTTTTCCTTAGAGTTGAGATACATGTCATTAGTCCAACTTTTCAAGGCCTGCTCGTTAAAAAGAATAAGACCTCTAACTTTAATGTTTATGGGGTGCAAGGGAGATTTTGAAATAAGTTCAAAAAGTATGTCGGAAAAATGTTCAAAAATAATTATTTTTAATTTTGAAAAATATTAACATGTGACCACCCGTCCTCCAGTCTACCAGACGCATTCCAAAAAAAACGTGCCAACATTTATTCACAACTTTAATGTTGAAAAGTGAAGAAGTTTCAGCGAAATTTCGCTTTAATCTGTTTCGCGAAAAAAACAAATGCGGAGGAGACATTATTAATTATGATATAATAAAACTTCCAATGCTACGCTCTCAGATAAGAGATTTCCGCAGCTATGGTTTTCGCGGAATTTTGTTTTCTTGAAAAAATTTTCTTTTCGAATTTTTTTCGCAAAAAATGCGAAATTTCGCGAGAAAGTTTGCAAAAAACGAACGAAAATTTTCGTATTTTTTCACAAAAGTTTTTGTTCGCTGGAAACCCTAGGTGGATTACATCTCTCGGTAAATTATAAAAGTTTTTTCAAACGTCTATATTACTATAGGATAAAGATCCCTGAACAGAAAGGATTGGGTGGATTACATCTATCCGTGAATTATAAGAAGGTTTCATGGAAACCCAATGCTATGGATCCTCTCATTCAGGTTTACTTTATATTTATATATAAAAAATTGTAATCTATGTTTGTTTGTTTGTATGTCCGATCATAACTCATGACCCCACGAACCGATATTGTCTTGTAATTCAAAACGACATCTAGTGTCCTATCTGTGTTCTTATTAATCTTTGATCATTGTATTTTCAAATTATTTGTACAGGGTAAATCTGACGAATCTGAACATTCTGAAAATGAAGATGAACTGAATCAAACTTACAACAGATAATTTTATCAAAAAGTGATGTATGCTTTTTTATCCTAATAACAAGCCATTTCCGTGTTTAGAGGGGTTTGAAGGATTGCTACAACACAATGTCACTCTGTAGTCAGTATGTCACCCCATAGATATGCAAAACCCGGTTTTTAACTGTAACCCTCTAATAAATGTGTAAATATACAGTTAATGTGGACAACATTCAGCAAATGTTGATTTTCAAGTTTTCTTTGAGCATTAAAACCTTTTTCTTCAAAATTTCATTTAGAAAATCTACAAATGTTTATTATTTTTTAATTATAAAACTTTTATGTCTTCTTTAAATTTCTTTGTTTAGTGGAACTCCCAAATATATGATATAAAGGGTTACCCACAAAAGATGCAAATTTATTTATTTTGCAATTAGCATAGAATGAGACTTGATAGTCGACTGAACCAAATTTCTACTGTCTGTTTTCTTATAAACATGGATCCAACTTCTAAGCTATTAAACAAGCAAATATCTTCAAAACGATGGTTGAGAAGTTTATTTTTTTTTCAAGAGTTTCAGGTCGTCTTTACTGCTCATCCTTTGAAGGTAAACCTGTATTTAAATTAAGGTGTGATTAATGATACATGGCAAAAATAACAACCATAACAATGAATTATCGTAACTCAATGTAAAAATCAAACGTTTCATAAATTGTTAAGTCAATGTGATTTCTAAAATATAAACTCTTTCGTGATTTTCAGGATAATATACATAATATATTCTTATGTTGTAAGATTAATCTTTTTTTGTTTTTTATCTGTAAATTCGGATTAATATGCATTTATTTAAAAACTTAATTCATTACATATGTAATATCCTTATACAATGTTATTTTGCTTGTATTACAGAATACGTTGTACATTAAAAGAATATCAAAACCAAATCTGCTAAGATCTTTCATCAGGAATTTATGATATTTTTTAATTCAGGGAAAAAATACAAAAAAGCTGATAATTGTTTTGTTTTCATCCACATCTCATGAACAATGAATAATTTAATATAAAACCTAAAAAGTCACCATTTTCTGCAAACCAAAGAAATAAAATTATATTGCATTTATTTAAAGATTCATCAATTTTTAATTCATATTTACTGGGACACCAGCGAATGAAAACGTTCGCGAAAAAATGCGAAAATGTTCGTTCGTCGTTCGTAAACTTTTTCGCGAAATGTCGCGAAAATGAACTAAGCGAAAAAATGCAAAAACGAAGAGAAGTTTCGCGAAAAATAATTCCGCGAAAACCATAATGTGTTGAAGGTGCAAATAAAACTTCTGGAATTCTTTGCTCTGAGAGCTCAGCACTAGAATGTTGTATAATTAATAATTTCTCTTCTTTTTCTGTGATAAATGTTTGATGAAAATTTCCATTTTTTTCGCCAAATTTACACCATTTTTTCTTCGCAAAATTTTCGCAAATTTTTACGCTAAATTTTCGCAAATATTATATCGCAAGACAGAAAATTTTTGCATTTTCCGAAAACGAACGAAAAGCAAACGCTGCGAAATTTTTTTCGCAGAACGATTTCCATTTTTCGCTGGAGACCCTAGACACCATTTACATTGTACAACCAACACATTTGTTTTAGCTGTACTTAGACATCATGCTCTGTCTCTGAAGTTCTTATCCATTGTGGGTAACCCTGTGTCTATGTATTTATTTCATTTGTAAAAAGTTCAACCAAATTATCAAACATAAAATGTGATCAAATCAATTTTGTGATAATTGAGTATTTTATGAAAAGTTTTTCTGGCAAAAATAAAATGATTTTTTTAAAATCTCAATCTAGTCAGAATTAAATAAAATAACACAAGGCGATTATTCGCTCCCGTCTTCTATTTTAACTTTTGAAGGTAGCTCCATCTGTGAGCATCTTCTCTTTTTACAATATAAAACAAAAAGAAACAAAGTTTGTATGTTAAATGATATTTTTTCGCGAACTTTCAAAATTTTACAAAAATCAAAAAGTTTTGGAACAGAATTTTGTAATTTTGAGCATCCAAAAACTTTCCCAGTGTTCATGCGAGGCCCCACTCAAAATTTGGACCAAATGGGTTCAGCCATTTTGACGTTTATTGGATTCAAACGGACAGACAGAAAAGCAAAATATTTAATACTAGCTAAAGGGCCCAGCGTTGCCCGTGAAAAAAAATCCAAATTTTTTAGCCTTAAACACACAACAGCCCATCCCATGAGTGTCCACAAAAATTTCAGCCCATTTGGTCCAGCCGTTTGACCCCCTATAGGCAGCATAAATATATATATATAAATATATATATATATATGTGAATGTCTTGTTTTATTATATAGATGTATCTATATATAAGGAAAATTCAAAATAATCCCATTTATAATATATAATTTTACTTTATAACCTGATGTTCATGTCATTTAATAACCTTTAATTAGAATCAATTTGGTTAAAATTGCTCAAGTAAAGATTAAATCCTCCCTGAAACTTGCTAGAAAAAAACACAGAATAGAAAACACATTTTAAAACTAGTTTTGTTATATTTCAAAAAATATTGAAGTTTACATTTAAAATATATTATATATAAAAATTAAAATGTTTTGATTAAATGTTGTAATAAAAGCGTTCGTTCACAAAATCAGATCTTTACGTTTGTATTTACTCAACGTTAAGATGTGTAAAAATGATGGTCTTAGTTGAGATTCAGACAAATCTTTGATTTTTTTTATATTAACTGGAAATGGGAAATACTAAGAGAAAAGCAAAAATGTAGAAGATGGATTTAGGACCTTTCTTAAGTCTCACTGACTTCATTCCCCACATGCTTAGATATCATCATGACCCGGAAGTCTGAATGCCGCGGCGAATTCTTCGACTTTATTCCTCAGTTCTTGAACACGTGACACAAACTTTTCGTCTTCTAACTTTGCCTAAAAAATAAATAAATTGGTCAGTAAAAATGACTATGCAATAAAACAAAGATTTAACATGCAGTGAACCCATAAAGTATGAATAGGAAGACATCTTTTACACTTCAGATCTGATTTTAAATAGTCCAATGATCATAAAAACAGTAATTGCGTAGTGTAAACAGACCCATTTCACTTCAGGTTATGGTGAAACTATTTACATTAAGATAACATCAAATTCGCATAATTAAGATGTCGTCCATTCCTATTTTATAAATTTACGTGTCCCACTTCATAAAAACCACTTAAAACTTAAACTATTATTACCTTAAAATCTACCAGCTTTGGCCCTGACTGCGCCTGCGCATCCACTGCAATATGGAGTGCGGCATCGATAAATCCAACAACAGTCATAATATTCTCTTTACCTAGACCCCTGAAACAAATTTAGAATGCCTCCTATTTTTGAAGAGATAATGCAGATAAGAACAATAAAATAAAATTGTTTTTCACATAATTGGCGTTTTCTCAGAACTAAGGTTTTTTTCAATAACATTTTTTTAAGAACTAAATATTTAGCTTGCAATTGAAGCAGAAACTAATATAATACTAATACTAATTGTAATAACTAATTGTAATACTAATACTAATAATAATACTAATAATAATAGTAATAATAATAGTAATAGTAATACTAATACTACATTATGACATTAATGACAATAATGACAATAATGACAATAATGACAATAATACAATGATGACAATAATGACAATAATACAATGATGATATTACTGATGATAATACTGATGATAATACTGATGATAATACTGATGATAATACTGATGATATTACTGATGATATTACTGATGATAATACTGATGATAATACTGATGATAATACTGATGATATTACTGATGACAATACTGATGAAAATACTGATGAAAATACTGATGAAAATACTGATGATAATACTGATGATAATACTGATGATAATACTGATGATAATACTGATGATAATACTAAATGCTAATGCTAATGCTAATGCTAATGCTAATGCTAATGCTAATGCCAATGCTAATGCTAATGCTAATGCTAATGCTAATGCTAATGCTAATAATAATAACCTTGTGGTTAAGGACGGTGTTCCAAGACGAATACCACTTGGATTGAGCGCAGATTTGTCTCCTGGAAAAATTCAAATCAAATCCCATATTTTTTGTAGTAATAATAAATCCTAACAGTTATTAACTAAATAAATTAGTACATTAAATATAAGTAAAACTACTGCAGCAGTAGAGCGTTGATAGCTTTGACTTTTTTCACATAGCTCTCCTGGGATCTTTTAGAGTTAAATACATTGGCATATCATATTTCATATTCATCATCTCGAATAACGAGAAACATGGTAAATGATCAGAGGTTGAAACTTAAGTTTGGATTATTGTTTATCTTCAGGATAAATGCTCGATTCCTCAATCAAAGGGATCCCTGCCAAACATGGAATATCAAAGAATAATACTAATTGTCTTAAAATTTTCGACTTCTCCTTTGGTACAAAGAAGATAATAATTTTTATGAATATCAATAAGTATCCAATTTTAACTAAAAAAAAAAACAAAAAAACAAATAAGGACAAAGAACGTAAACTTTTATAAAAACAACATTATTGCACGTGTAATATCAACTTACCAAAAATTCCTAAATTTTTGATAAATGAAATAGAAAAAACCAATTTTTAACACTAACTGGTAAAAAATATTGCGTAAAAAATGCTACCTGGAACAGTATTCTTATTGCAAGAAATGTTAACTTGCTCAAGGATCAATTCACCCTAAAACAAATATTTTTTTATGAAAATTCAATATTTGTACCAGATTTCTAGATACAGTAAATAATTTTTCACATTATTGATAAGATAAAGGTTAACAATGTAGTGATTCGAACATGCCCTTCCTTGAATGAAGGATAACTATAAAAGCTAATGAATTTAAAATCACAAGGACAGTCTCATTATGATAATAATAACATAGTGATACTAATAATATAATGATTAATGATACTGATACTGATACAGATACAGATAAAGATACCAATAACAATAACGACAACGACAACGACAACGACAACGACAACGACAACGACAACGACAACGACAATAACAATTTACCTTTGCTCCTGATAGTTTGACGTGAGATGATTTTAGATCTACGTGCACAATATGATTATCTGTTCCACCTGAACACAAACATTAATATTATAATAATAATTACTTGCAGACTTCAGCTTCCTTCCGTTTAAGTTGACTTAAGTAAAAAATCAAATGTTGGGATTCATCTCTCTCTTAGATTTGAATATTTTTTTTCTGCCATATTTCTGACATCAGCAGTTCATTTTCTTACCCATATCGGCCCAAAATGGAATATGTTTTTTTTCGACTTTATAAGAAGAGGAAATTGTTTTTATTCACTTTAGATTCCCTAGAAGTTTTGCACATATTGAAGGAAAGGAGAATTGAAATGAAGAAAATGTAAAAAATTGACACATCTAGTGTAACTGTGTAGTGTGTATACAGTATACCTGATGAAAAGGGCCATTTATATGCGTTTAATAAGAATAGCTGTCAAGTGTGGGTCAACATTTTTCTAGAAAAGCTAAGGTGTAAATAATTAAATTGTTTTCTACCTGTTACAATTTTATATCCTAGGTCGGCCAGACCAGCAGCCAGTGTCTTAAACACATTCAAAATAAATAAATTATTTTCTTGTGAAAAAGGTAAAAAGGTGATTTTGAGAGAAAACACTAACTGTGAAAAAAACTATAAATTTTGCTGGGGAAAAATTTTGTGATGAGGTAAAAATAAATGATTTTTAGGAAAATAAATGACTTGGTAGACTTTTTTTGTTGCTATTTTTGTCAGAGATATTAAGATTTTTTTAAAGCAAAAAGATGAATAAGACACTTTGTATCAAACTATGCAAGCGGAAGTATAAAACAAGGATCAAATAGTTTTAAAATGTACATCTTATAAGGGTTAAAAAAAGTGGCTTGGCGAGGAAAAATCAAAAGCCAAGGTATTGACTTCAAATTTGACCTGGTCGTAAAATTTAATGCATAGGTTTTATAGCTGTGAAAATAAGTTTGAAGATTTTGTCACCTTGGCGTTGTTGACTACGTTGGTCTGGTAGTCCTTGAATTCCTGCGTGGCAGCGTGCTTCATTGCCACCGCTATACCAGCAATGGCGTGGTTATGAGGACCACCCTAAATATGTTTATTCATATTTTAAAATCGTTCCTTTCTCTTTTCCGGCAACAGCAAGGCTATTTTTGTCTAAGACATGACATTTTTGACAGTTAAAAACAAATTGTAAAGGAAAATCATTTGAACAAAATATTTCGTTTTTTCAAAAAGAATTAATAATTTTAAGTTTTGTACAAAATGAAATTAATCATGTACATAAGAGTGTACGATATGATGTACCTGAAGTCCTGGGAAAACCGCCATGTTTATTTTATTAATCATGTACATAAGAGTGTACGATATGATGTACCTGAAGTCCTGGGAAAACCGCCATGTTTATTTTATTCTCGTAATCGTACATAATCTCCTTTCCGTTTCTATCCACCTCCTTCAAACCACGCCTAAAAAGATATGCACATGTACACAATCATAATACATGTACGACGTACGTACATGTACATCAATCACACGATGTAAGTACACAATGCACATCCCCCCCGTATACCTGAAGAATAATATCTCGGCTCTAGAGCCCCTCAGTATACCTGAAGAATAATATCTCGGCTCTAGGGACCCTCAGTATACCTGAAGAATATTATACCAGCTCTAGGGTCCCTCAGTATATCTGAAGAATAATTATACCAGCTCTAGGGTCCCTCAGTATACCTGAAGAATATTATACCAGCTCTAGGGGCCCTCAGTATACCTGAAGAATATTTTACCAGCTCTAGGGCCCCCCAGTATACCTGAAGAATAATATACCAGCTCTAGGGCCCCTCAGTATACCTGAAGAATAATAACTCGGCTCTAGGGTCCCCCAGTATACATGAAGAATAATATCCCGGCTCTAGGGTCCCCCAGTATACATGAAGAATAATATCCCGGCTCTAGGGTCCCCCAGTATACCTGAAGAATAATATCCCGGCTCTAGGGTCCCCTGGTATACCTGAAAAATAATATACCGGCTCTAGGGTCCCCCAATATACCTGAAGAATAATATCCCTGCTTTAGGGCCCCCCAGTATACCTGAAGAATAATATACCGGCTTTAAGGTCCCCCAGTATACCTGAAGAATATCCCGAGGGCCCCTCAGTATACCTGGAGAATAATATCCCTGCTCTAGGGCCCCCCCCAGTATACCTGAAGAATATTATACCAGCTCTAGGGCCCCTCAGTATACCTGAAGAATAATATCCCTGCTCTAGGGCCCGCCAGTATACCTGAAGAATATTATACCAGCTCTAGGGGCCCTCAGTATACCTGAAGAATATTATACCAGATCTAGGGCCCCCAAGTATACCTGAAGAATATTATACCAGCTCAGGCTCCCTCAGTATACCTGAAGAATATTATACCAGCTCTAGGGACCCTCAGTATACCTGAAGAATATTATACCAGCTCTAGGGCCCCCAAGTATACCTGAAGAATAATATCTCGGCTCTAGGGACCCTCAGTATACCTGAAGAATATTATACCAGCTCTAGGCTCCCTCAGTATACCTGAAGAATATTATACCAGTTCTAGGGCCCCTCAGTATACCTGAAGAATATTATACCAGCTCTAGGGTCCCTCAGAATACCTGAAGAATATTATACCAGCTCTAGGGCCCCCAAGTATACCTGAAGAATATTATACCAGCTCTAGGCTCCCTCAGTATACCTGAAGAATATTATACCAGCTCTAGGGACCCTCAGTATACCTGAAAAATATTATACCAGCTCTAGGGCCCCCAAGTATACCTGAAGAATATTATACCAGCTCTAGGGCCCCTCAGTATACCTGAAGAATAATATACCAGCTCTAGGGCCCCTCAGTATACCTGAAGAATATTATACCAGCTCTAGGCTCCCTCAGTATACCTGAAGAATATTATACCAGCTCTAGGGCCCCTCAGTATACCTGAAGAATATTATACCAGCTCTAGGGCCCCTCAGGGTTTTGTGTACTGTAGAAGTGACAACATCACAGAACTCAAATGGAGATGGAACATGTCCAGTAGCTACCAACCCACTAGAAGAGTTGAAGTCTTATTTTCAATGATTTGCCAATATTTTGATCAAAAAAATTATCTTTTATAAATTTGAATCTGTTCAAATATCCGTGATTAATGAACTGAATCTGTTCAAATATCCGTGATCAATGAACTCAATCTGTTCAAATATTCATGATTAATGAACTGAATCTGTTCAAACATCCATGATTAATGAACTGAATCTGTTCAAATATCCGTGATTAATGAACTGAATCTGTTCAAATATCCATGATTAATGAACTGAATCTGTTCAAATATCCGTGATTAATAAATAAACTGAATCTGTTCAAGACATTAAAAAAATTACAACTTTCCTAACATGAGCCATATCAGCCATCAGAAGAGATCCATTTTGATCAGCAATTTGACGGAACCTAAAATCATATCACTTTAATTATATAAACAAAAATATGCATATCTAATTCATCCTTGATCAGTCAACGCTTTTAAGGATAACGTTGTAAAGCGGCCATTGCCATCTTTGCAATGGAGTCGCATGAATTTACACTCACATACCATTTAAGATAAAACTGACCTGGCATAGTCCAGGTTTCTAGCATAACAGCTGATTCCAGCAATTATCAGTTTAGGTTTGAACAGTGCAGCTGATTTCTCCAGAGCATCGTAATCTATCAGTCCAGTTGATGGGTCGACCTAAAATCACAATTCCTTATATTTCAAGCAAAGCTCTTGGTAAAAAAACGACGGGGGAAAAAACTTGAAAAAGTTAACTATTAATTAGGAACCGTTGAATGTGTGAGTATACCTTGTGAAATAAAACCCGTGAAGGAAATAAAACCAGAAAAAATTCAATTTCAAGGTGAAAAAGTTCCCGCCTAGAAAAATACACATTGGGAAAGCTTATCAGTTAAAAGTACTTTGTTGGTGAAAAAAACCAAAAAAAACACGTAACCTGCGAAAAATTAATTTAGACTGTAATACGAATCCACTAGAGAAAGTACTCTTGGTAAAAGTAACTTGGAAAAGTACTCCAGGTAAAAGTGCCTTGAAAGAGAACTCCATGTAAAGTACTCCAGGTAAAAGTGCCTTGAAAGAGAACTCCATGTAAAGTACTCCAGGTAAAAGTGCCTTGAAAGAGAACTCCATGTAAACCGCTCAGGGTAAAAATGACTGGACAAAACTTACTCCGGTTCAAAGGGATTAAGTGATCCATGAAAAAAAGATCCCTTCTAATGTTCTCCTGGTAAAAATAACCGGGGAAAGTACTCCATGAAATAAAGACACCTGACACTTACTCCGGTTCAAAGGGTTTAAGTGATCCATGAGAGAAAGATTTCTTGTAAAGTACTCATGGTAAAAATGACTTGGGAAAGTACTCCATGAAATTGAGATAGCTACAAAAATTACTCCCGGTCAAAGGGCCGCCACCCCATTCACACAACCTATATCTAGGTTCCGTTCATGGCTGCACTATCTCTCCTGATCTCCTCTGGAGTCCTCCAGGATGGCACTGCTATATGTCTGATACTTTGTGATCTTTATTATGTCCTTTTCTATCTTTCTTTACCATGTCATATCTCTAGCAGTGTCCTTTTTCCAGATACTGATGTACCGAAGACCTTAAGGCCTTTCCGTGTTTACTTCGTATACAAGTCTGAACCTCGTCTCTTCTCGTCCTTCTCGAAACCCCAGAGGACTGATCCGGAAGCGCACCTGTTCCTGTTGCTTGTGCGGTACCAGGTGGTCCCTCTCCTTGCTGATCTCCCTACTCCTCACCTAGACGAGACCGCGCGCCCAAACGCGCTCGGACTGAACTAGGAGGACTTACTCTAGCTGAGCAGATACCCAAGGTGTGTATTCTTACGGGCCATTAAAAATTCATGAGAGGATTAGCCCACCAAAAAAGTACTCCTGCTGAAGGTGCTTGCTCCTGAAAAGTATTTTCAAATGTTTACCTTATACGGCATAGACTCGAAGAAGATGGAAGTAGCGGATATTTTTGCTTTGTTTGTGAAGAACCCATGAGTAAGGTGACCACCGTCAGGAAGATCCAAGCCCATTATTCGACCATGAGGTTCAACGAGGGCAGTGTACACGGCAAAATTGGCCTAAAATATTTAGTAATCTAAAATAAAAATATTTACTTTGAAAATATTATCAAAGCTATTTTTAAAAAGAAGATATTATTGTAATTATTTGTTTTGAGGCTAAATTTTTTAGATGGGAAAGCACTTAGCCACATTGATTGAATTTTCTTTCAATTACATCAATTGAAACCGGTTTTTGGGGGATTTGAGACGTGGCTTAAATTCATTAAATTAGGACACTGTTTGACCAATTTCGTATCCAGTACAGTTTACAGGAGACCGAATTTTTAGAATTTGAGCAAGGTTGCTGAACAACCTATCACCGGTTCAAATCTTAATAAATCGATTCGAGTTAAAGATTCATGAGGACTTGAACCAGCAGTAGGTAGTTCAGCGACCTCGACAGTTCATTAAATTCTAGCCCAGCTGACATTTTACCTACCGGTGAACCACTGTACGGCTGTACATTAACCCCCCAGGATGCTGGATCCAGATTGTACAGTTCCAGAGATCTGGACTGAGCAAGTAGTTCAAGTTTATCAATAAACTCATTTCCACCATAATACCTAGATAAAAAATCGATAAAAATAAAATCAACAGAACGGAAAAGTTATCTAAGTTATTTTGAGTAAAAAATTGTTGAACTCTAAGTTGAACCACTTCAATTTAAATTATTTCAATAATTTCTTGCCCTCGATATTAAATAATTTTGGTCCATGGCCTGGCATACTATATGGATTGAGAAATCTAACAAAAAACAATTCCCTTAATTTGTTTAACAACAATTTACAAATACAATTATTTCAAGCAACCATCCATTCAAGAGGGGCCTGCCCTTTTAACCTTTATATGATCAATAATGTCGACGATAACTTAGTTTTTTTGCATCAAAAATCCGCAAGTCGCTTCTGTAGAGAAACCACGATTAAAAATAATCAAGCTTCAAACAGAAAAACATACACATTTTATTTATTCTTAATGAGACAAAGTTTACAACTGATATCAATCTAGACGTTTGCTTAAACAGATAAAATATTCACCTTTGACCAGGTTGACCTTCACTATACTTGTTGGCTAGACACGATCCCATACATTCCATTACAGCAAGGGAGGTGAAGTTCTCACTAGCAATCATTTCCAGACCTTTCTTCTGGCGATCCTTTTCATCTTTGATCATCTCATAAACCTAGAATATATTTCTTAGTATCAAGGATAAAACATTATTTTTATCCTATATCAGATTTGTAAAGAATTGATAAAATAAGATAAAATTTTATTCGCCATTTCGACAATTGTAGGATCCAGATCCGGATTACAATGAATCTGGATCTTTGATAAGTATTCATGGCAAGAATTTAAACACTAGAGTATATAAATTTGACCTCACTATCTACTTCTTGAAGTGGGTTGTTTAGAGTCCATTTCTCTCCTACCCCGTTCATATCTCCAGATGAAGTTACAGGCGACATGTTTCTGCAATAATTTTTTATAAGATTTCACCTTACCTGAATAGAAAGTAGACTTGATTGATTATTTTCAATTAAGTTTCTATATAAAAGTAACTTCGGATTCGTGCCGCTGAGACAATGAAAGAAATGGAAAGAATATAATTCTTTCCAAGACACAAAAACAGTGAAATGTTTTTAATAATCCAATACAGAAATTAAAGCCATCTGAACTGTACAGCTAGACATTACTGGTTCGACTTTGTGATGTGGTAGGTCCTCTTCTTTTAATTTCACAAAGTTTATCCGTTTCCTAATATGATTAATTTACAACATTTCTATATTCTACAATAGCTTTACAATAAGAGGAGCTATGATTGAAATAATTTAAGATTTCATTCTAATTTGCAATTTATATTAGTTAGATGTGTAGGTCGAGTAGGTCGAGTAGGTAGAGTAGGTAGAGTAGGTAGAGTAGGTAGAGTAGGTAGAGTACGTAGAGTAGGTAGAGTACGTAGAGTAGGTAGAGTACGTAGAGTAAGTAGAGTACGTAGAGTAGGTATCGTTGTGACGTGTAACTTTAAATGACGTCTCTTTAAATTAAGATAAATATTAAATAATCAAAACCGCTGATTTCACAGATGAGTGTAAGAATGAAACTAATTGTGAAAACTTATTGTTGAAAATGGAATGAACAAGTGTCCTGCGAACTTCATGAACGTAAGTTAGAGCAAACCCTGCAATCTGTTTGCAGCAAATAAACATGCAATGTAAAAATTTCGTTAAAAAATACCACTAATTACTAATTATTGATAATAATCGTAAAAAACTGAAAAATTCAGTTTTAAGTTGAAACTACAGAGTTACCAACAAAGAATGAGGCGGTAAAGACGACTTGAAACTCGTATAATATGAAAATCTCAAGGTTAAATTAAGTTTGTGAATAGCTTATTTAGTGATTTTGCAAAGAAGGAAATTTGCACTTGCAAAATATCTTGAATATGAGGTAACAGAAAGTAAAAATTCTGTACAGTCGTCTCTGGAAGTCTCATCCTTTGTGGGTAGCAATGTATCGATGTTTAATTGATCAACATTAAGCACCTATAATGTCTAAATTTTAATTAAAATCCTAGGTATTGATTAGAATCCACCTTCCACCATCTGTGAAAAAAACCTAAGAGAAAAGTCCAAAATCAATTAAAGTCCGGTTAAAAAGTCACTGAACAAGTGAGATTCTTTTTTATCAAGTATTTTTTTTCGGCTATCATACTGAAACCAGTAATAAAGTCAAAAGAAAGATAATCATGAGAAGATACATAAAGGAAAAACAGCATTTTCGGAGAGAAAGACAAGAACAAATTTACGTCAGTACATTTCAGTGTACTGCAGTACACTTCAGTACACTGCATATTTAGTCATAGGGATCTTGATATCCACTATGTGTACTTTATATTTGAAGATCAATGCTTCTTCAGTTCAGTTAGTTCTCTCTTGATCAAAGCTCCCTTCAACCACTGACTGGGTACGATTACCATGCGGGGTATCACAAAAAAATCAAATTAATCTGCAGATTAATTTAATATCAAAATCAAGCATTGATCTCGATATTCACAATACAAGAGTGGGCACTCTGAGCAATTTAAAGGTTGAATCTACACTAAGTTGGGGGTGAGGTGAAGGGTCGTTAAGGCGGTCAGGTTTATGCGGTCAACCTATTTAACTGATATGAGAAAGGAGAGGGGGTGCTAGTATTTAGGGACGGAAGGGGACTAGGATTCCCTAATTATGGAGAAAGGCCCTTTCTGAAAGGGGGTTACTTGCTCATTTCAATTTAAATCGCTTTGTTTATCTTTAGTGCAAAAATGTTTTTATACATTCAAGAAAATTATAAAAAAGAAAAAAATCCACTGCTAAATTCATTTTTGTTATAGCACTATGTTGCTGCAATACCATATTTACGAAACATTTTATAATTTACTACGTTCAGTAAAAACAGGTTTCTAGCCAATAAAAATAGAGATCTGTTCTTGGCTTTTGAAACGAAAAACTACATCTCTTTCACTTTTCGTGAACTGTTGTTAGTTTTCATTCCGTTTGACTAAGATTATTACCTTTATAGCACTATGAGGTAAAAAGAAAACAACTAGTTAGAACTGGTTCACATTTGAGCTTAAGATTGTATATGTTAACACTGCAACGTCTAAAATACAACTGACTGAATTCTGAATAGTTCTCACTTCTCAGCTGTTTCTACCCAACCTATCAGCTTTATTGATCTCAACATGGGAATCTTGTACTTTCACCCTCTTGTATAATTATTAATTAATCTCCCTTAAAGGGACTGTACGCGTAGTTTCAAGTGGCTCTCCATTCAAAGAAGGAAATATCAGATTCACAAGAGTACCATTAAATCCTTCATATGATCTACAATGTAGGTTGGCGTTTTTCTAGGTCAAAAGTGCTAGATTCTGATAATTCTTCTATTTTCCTGCACCAGAAATGCGCAAGTCACTTTTGTAGATAAACCAAAGCTGGTAACTTCAGATCGGGATATGCTCTATCCCGATCGGTTAATAAATCTGGAGATTAACAACAAGAGAACAAGCAAATTTAATCTGAAGATTAATAACAAGAGGAGAACAAGCATTATTTAATCTGGAGATTAAGAAAAAGAGTTGATCAAGCATTAATCCCGATATCCACCCTTCAAAAGTTCCCAGCTCAAAGCAGATAAATAAAAATAATCAGCTTTTAAAAAGAAAAAAACTTTGATGTCTAATTGATACTTATACAGACAAAGCTTTTAAGGGTTTTGTTGTGAATCCCTTGAAGGGCTTGAACATATCTTTTAGAAAAGTGATCAAACAGTTCATTAAAAAAAGTTCAGTAATAAAAAAAAGCAAGGAAACCATTTTTGATTCTTGGTTTAAGTATGAATTTCCAATAAAATTTTTAGAATAACTGTTCATGTATCTGACCTTTACTTAGAATAAAAAGCAGCTGAAAATAAAAGAAATAAATTTATCCTATAGTAAGCTGCTTAAAAACACTGTACTCTGAGCCAGCTGTTCAATATTCAAAAACCATACTTCAGTTCAATATCTACTACAAAACAATATAAAGTTCAATATTTACTACAAAACAATATAAAGGTCAATATTTACTACAAAAACCGTAATAAAGTTCAACATATTCAAAAACCGTACTTCAGTTCAATATCTACTACAAAACAATATAAAGTTCAATATTTACTACAAAACAATATAAAGTTCAATATTTACTACAAAAACCGTAATAAAGTTCAATATATTCAAAAACCATACTTCAGTTCAATATCCGCTTCAGAACTGTAATTAAGTTCAATATCTACTACAAAAGCCGTAATTAAGTAAAATATTGTGGAAGACGATGCCTGGCCGCGTTAAACTAGTTCCACAAGATTCAACAGAATGAGATAGAACGGATACGGGGCATAAGTACTGATATCATCTCTACAGTCTACACGTGCGATATCGATATTGACTCTAGTTCTGAACCCTCTAGTAATAAGTTATAAGAAATATATATACTGGAAGTTATTTATGCGTTTTATTAGAGTCTGACTCACGTCCTCTATAATATCTACAATAAAAATCGTTCCTTAGTTCAATATCTACTATAAATACCACAAGTTCAATATCTACTACAAAAACCGTAATAAAGTTCAATTTCTTTAGTCTCAAAAATAAGTTCAATATCTACTATGACAACCGTAATTAAGTTCAATATCTACTACAAAAATGTAATTAAGTTCAATATCTACTATAAAAACCGTAATTAAGTTCAATTTCTTTAAAAGTCTCAAAAATAAGTTCAATATCTACTATGACAACCGTAATTAAGTTTAATATCTTCTACAAAAACCGTGATTAATTTCAAAATCTACTAAAAAAGCGCTAATTTACTCTTAGATGCATTTTCAATACTTGTCTAGATGCAAGACTTGATCTCAACTTAGTAATCTTATCTTTCAACTCCGTACACTCCTACGTATCAGATTTCATTTTAATCAAATTCTCTAATTTTCTCAAGATTCATCATTCTCATCTGAAAACTGTAAAATATGATTTTATTAATAATATTTGTAATTTATTGTTAAAATCATGCAAATAATTTGCGCATTTCGTCCATAGATAATTTATGTATTATAATGCAATATATGTTTGTGTTGTACAATGTACATTACAGTGTACATTGTACACGAATATCACAGGCTATTTCAGAAGAAAAATATATTTTTAAAGTTCGTACGTTTTCCTTGAAGAATCGATTTTAAGCAAATTCTTTTTATAAGAAATAAATAAGAAAAGCAGTAAAATGTTAGAACCTTAAAGGGACTGTAAGCGTGATTTCAAGTGACCCTCCAGGAAAAGATGGCGATGGTACCCTAAAAACCTATACGTCAATAATGTGAAAGATGTGGTAATTTATCTAAGTTCTTTCAGTCTGATAATTCCTATATGTTTTCCTGTTTATGCACGAGTGAGAAACAAGTAAAAATAATAAGTTTTCAAAATTATCTTATTCATACTTGGTCGGACAAAGCCTGAAATGTATCGTTACGAATCAATATTAAAATCAAATTAGCATGGCTGGTCTCTTGAAATTAGACTTACAGTCCCTTTAAAGAGAAAAGCAGCATAAAAAAGTCGTTAAAAAATGCAGAATAGAAAACGTCATCAATAATGATCAATAAAATTAAAAATGGTACGAACTGGTTAAAATTGTTTACAGGGGCCAGGGATCGTAAATATACAATTTTAGTAATTTTCATTAAAACTCAACAATTTATCAAATCAAAGTATTAAAAATAATTTTGGAATTGGTTCATTTTTTTGGGTCACATCTAGGGAATTATCACCAGTGTTTAGGTTGCTCATATCATTTTATTTTATTAGTTTCTTTAAACAAGGTTGCATATTAACCCCTGTGAGAGGGTGTAAATGATGATATTTTAGAGAAAACAAAGAATTCTAAACTAAATATTAAAGCACATTTTTCGTGAAAAGTTCAGATCAACCCAGTTGGATTTTTTTTACTAAAAACATTATTCAAGCAATCATTAAATAAAAATAAAAATTTTCCATTCAAAAAAAAAAATTGACTCTTGCGAGTCAAATGTCTAAGACACTCTTGGTGGGATACTTCTGAATGGATTTATTTAGTAGAACCTCATCATGGAACTGATTCAGCACTTGTAGTCCTAACTTTTGATTGTTTGATCTTCAACTGGTCTTATCATTGTTGAACCACAAACTAATAATTGTTCGATCTAGTCGCATTGTTCATCGCTTTACCCCTAAAAAAGAATTTCCATTTTGAATTTCAAGAAATTATTTTATTTTCTTATGTTATGTTAGGCTGTGCACTGGTGTACGATGTGAATCTAACAAAATATAAATAATTCTGAAGGAAGACGATATTTAAAACTATCATGTATACCATTCCATGCTAGGTTTTAGAGTATGCCGTTGGTTGACTTCAAATATGTGAAACCTTTTCTTCAAAATAGATTATCGACCTAATTCTGAAAAACTCGTATTTTAAAAAATGGAAAACTGTAAATGAATGTGAAAAAGATATTTCTACAGCAAATAGACCCAAATATTTGCCATTGCATTTACAACAGAACATGAAAAAAAACGTTCGTATATCTCTTTATTCCTTTTAATCCTTTATTTCCTACATAATGATAAAATTAACTAACCTGACAGTGGTTTTATAAATTTCATCAATTAACTGTTTTGATTCTCGTTGTAGAAGTAACAACTCCTCCTCTGGCTTTCCAGGAATCTACGGTAATATAAAAAAAAGAAAAAATAATCATAAAATTGAAGTTTTCTCTTTCTTAAAAATAAGTACGCGGTACTAATTAACTCGCTCAACAAAAAGTATAAGACGTGACTACATTTTAAAACTTTTCTTGAGAAAAGGCAAAGGAGCACCTTTCACTTACATTTCCACTTCAGGATGAAAGGGGTCTACCTGGAAGAATGGAAATGATCTATGGTAGAAGGATAAAAGGGATCTACCTGGAAGAATGGAACTGATCTATGGTAGAAGTATGAAAGAGGTCTACCTGAAAGAACGGAACTGATCTATGGTAGAAGAATAGAACTGATCTATGGTAGAAGGATGAAAGGTGTCTACCTGGAAGAATGAACTGATCTATGGTAGAAGGATGAAAGGGGTCTACCTGGAATAATGGAACTGATCTATGGTAGAAGGATGAAAGGGAAATACCTGGAAGAATGGAACTGATCTATGGTAGAAGGATGAAAGGTGTTTACCTGGAAGAATGGAACTGATCTATGGTAGAAGGATGAAAGGGATCTACCTGGAAGAATGGTACTGATCTATGGTAGAAGGATGACAGGGGTCTACCTGGAAGAATGGAACTGATCCATGGTAGAAGGCTGAAAGGGGTCTACCTCGAAGAATGGAACTGATCTTTGGTAGAAAGATGAAAGGGGTCTACCTGGAAGAATGGAACTGATCTGTGGTAGAAGGATGAAAGGAGTCTACCTGGAATAATGGAACTGATCTATGGTAGAAGAATGAAAGGGAAATACCTGGAAGAATGGAACTGATCTATGGTAGAAGGATGAAAGGTGTTTACCTGGAAGAATGGAACTGATCTATGGTAGAAGGATGAAAGGGATCTACCTGGAAGAATGGAACTGATCTATGGTCGAAGGATGAAAGAGATCTACCTGGAAGAATGGAACTGATCTATGGTAGAAAGATGAAAGGGATCTACCTGGAAGAATGGAACTGATCTATGGTAGAAGGATGAAAGGTGTCTACCTGGAAGAATGGAACTTATCTATGGTAGAAAGATGAAAGGTGTCTACCTGGAAGAATGGAACTGATCTATGGTAGAAAGATACCCAGACTTGAAGACAGGATACATGATGGTTTACAGGAAGATACTTCTTGCTTTCTAAAATAATGATAAGTTAATTGTCTAGAAATTCATTCTAAGAGGAGTATGAGCTGCTGGAACTCCGTATTATAACTGAAACTTCTGTAGTATAACTAGAACCCCCTATAGTGTACATGGAACCCCTAAAGTATAACTGGAACCCATGTAGTATACCTGGAACACCTGTAGTATACCTGGAACCCCTGTAGTATACCTGGAACCCCTGTAGTATACCTGGAACCCCTGTAGTATACCTGGAACCCGTGTAGTATACCTGGAACCCCTGTAGTAAAACTGAAACTCCTAGTATACCTGGAACCCCCCTAGTAAACCTGAAACTCCTATACTATACCTGGAACACCTGTAGTAAAACTGAAACTCCTATAGTATACCTGGAACCTCTGTAATAAACCTGAAACTCCTGTAGTATACCTGGAACCCCTGAAGTAAAACTGAAACTCCTATAGTAGAACTGGAACCCCTGTAGTAAAACTGAAACTCCTATAGTATACCTGGAACCCCTGTAGTAAACCTGAAACTCCTTTAGTATACCTGGAACCCCCGTAGTAAACCTGGAGCCCTGGTAGTAAACCTGAAACTCCTATTGTATACCTGGAACTCCTATAGTATTCCTGGAACTCCTGTACTATACCTGAAACTCACCTGGAACTCCTTTAGTATACCCGGAAATCCTATAGTATACCTGGAACTCTTATAGTATACCTGGAACTCCTTAAGTATACCTGGAACCCATGTAGTAAACCTGGTACATAATGTAGTATATCTGGGACCCCTGTAGTACACCTGGAACCCGTGTAGTATACCTAGAACCCCTGTAGTATACCTGGAACCCCTGTAGTATACCTGGAACACTTGTAGTATACCTGGAACCCCTGTAGTAAAACTGAAACTCTATAGTATACCTGGAACCCCTGTAGTAAACCTGAAACTTCTATAGTATACCTGGAACTCCTATAGTATACCTGGAACTACTATAGTATACCTGAAACTACTATAGTATACCTGAAACTTCTATAGTATACCTGGAACTCCTGTAGTATACCTGGAACTCCTATAGTATACCTGGAACTCCTATAGTATACCTGGAACTCCTGTAGTATACCTGGAACTCCTATAGTATACCTGGAACTCCTGTAGTATACCTGGAACTCCTGTTTAGTATACCTGGAACTCCTGGGAAGAACTGTTTGTCCATGATCATACTAAGATGAGATGGATCATGAAGATTATTTCTATCAGGTCGACGAGGAATACCGAATAGAGGATTCTCCCAATTCTACAATTAAAATTTTAAAATTCAGCTGAAAGGGCCGGACATATGTTGCTAAGAAAGATTTTTAAAGGGAGTGTTCGCGAAAAATGAAAGAAGGGTATAGGCTTAATGCGATAAAAAATCCCCAGATATTAGATGGGTTTGCGCGGGGAGGCAAAAGATGTTTAGAGTTTGTTTTTAATCTCCCTGACAGAAACAATCTCAAGAACTGACGAGGGTCAACCCAGACCGAAATATATTTTCAATAAATGTGGAACTAACATCTACTTCTAATACTATAGAAGAGGTTTAGTCCATCACCATCACCAAATTTTAAATTTATGGTTTTATTTGCTGAATTGTTGGGAAAAGAAGATAAAAAGATGATAAACATATGCCTTTGATGTTCAGTTGGGGGGAACTAGTAAATCAAAAATAATTTTCCCCAGAAGTTAGGTTTGTTTCCAATTCCAGTTCAAAAACAATTTTAAGACTTTTAATTGATGAAGTTTCGGGTTAAAAAAATTAAAAGAATGAAAAACTTGCCAATCGATGTTCAATTTCTATTTTTATCAAATCACCAAAAAGGCTTTTTTTCAAAGAATTAAGTTATGTTTGATTGGAGCGCCATAAAAATTTCAGGGTTTTACGTGCAAAATTGTTGTGTAAAAAATAGTAAAAAGGTGAAAAAAACTTCCTCTAAAATTAAATTTTTTTCAGATCCCAATATAAAATCATATCATGCGTGCCCCAAGGGGGGGGGGGTACACCCAGTGCCCCTCCCTTGTACGCCCCTGAGTGTAGAAACTGATAATTGTTTTGAGAGCAAAAGTTTCTTTTGGCGGTCTTGATTGATATTTTGCCACTAGGATTCAAATGCCGAATTTCTGAATTAATCTTAAAGAAAGCAGTTGGTTGATTGATTGATTTCCTTGACAAATAATCTGTATCCATTTTCTCAGCTTCCTTTTCACTCTCAATACAATGCAGTTCCAGCATACTGGAGTATGCATCCTCCAAAAATGCCTGAATGAAAAATGAGTTCAGTTAAAAACAAATTATGGATCTAAATATAAATCTGAACATAATTTTACCCGACCTGATTGGTTCAGCCGTTTTGACGTTTTAAAGTATGAAACAGTCAAATTAAAAAAAAAAAAATTGTACCTGAGAAGGTAGCTTTCTTTCTAGCAATATTTCTGTGAGTTTGTTCCCGGTCCCGCCAACATAATAATTATGACGTAGTTGATCTATCTAAACATTTTACAGATTACAGGGACTTTAAGCGTAATTTCAAGTAACCCTCCATGCAAAGATGGCAATGCCCGATTTACTACGGTACACTTGAAAACTTTATCTTATCAATATCTGCAAGATATTGATGTTTTTTTAGGTTTAAAACTTGCAGTAGAAATAAGCAATTTACCTTTGTGAAGAACCAACCAGTGCTTAGGATCCATTCAATTTTGATGCGGATCCGGATCCTGGATCTGCACTGGAAAAAATGGATCCGGATCCAGGTTATTTATTTAAGATTTACTAAATTTTTAAATTTTTTTTTTTTTTTCAAATTTTTGGTTTTATTTTTTTCGCTTATTTTTATCCTAAAACTTGATGAACCATTCAGAAACAAGGAAATATTTATAATCTCTCTTTTTCAAAAGTTCAGATTTGGGGTTTTGGAAAAAAAAGATTTTTTTAGCAGTTTTTGGTTGATATTTTACCCCTTGGATCCGGATCCGTGGATCCGCATAATTTTGCGGATCCGGATCCAGGAAGCCAAAATCTTGCAGATCCAACGGATCCGGATCCGGATCCTAAGCACTGAGACAACAATTAAAAATAATAAGTTTTCAAAACTATAAACGTATCGACATCTAATTTGTTGTTGATCAAACAAAGCTCCACCCTCAGGAGTACCCCAGGATATATTACCTGTGTACTAGGGAGTACATTAAGTACAGGTTGTATATAAAACCTGGAGAACTCCAGGATATATTACCTGTGTACTAGGGAGTACATTAAGTACAGGTTGTATATAAAGCCTGGAGAACTCCAGGATATATTACCTGTCTACTGGGGAGTACATTAAGTATAGGTTGTATATAAAATCTGAAGTACTCCAGGATATATTACCTGTGTACTAGTGAGTACATTAAGTACAGGTTGTATATTTAAAACCTGGAGTACCCCAAGATATATTACCTGTGTACTAGTGAGTACATTAAATACAGGTTGTAGATATAAATGGAACCCCTGTAGTAAAACTGAAACTCTATAGTATACCTGGAACCCCTGTAGTAAACCTGAAACTTCTATAGTATACCTGGAACTCCTATAGTATACCTGGAACTACTATAGTATACCTGAAACTACTATAGTATACCTGAAACTTCTATAGTATACCTGGAACTCCTGTAGTATACCTGGAACTCCTATAGTATACCTGGAACTCCTATAGTATACCTGGAACTCCTGTAGTATACCTGGAACTCCTATAGTATACCTGGAACTCCTGTAGTATACCTGGAACTCCTGTTTAGTATACCTGGAACTCCTGGGAAGAACTGTTTGTCCATGATCATACTAAGATGAGATGGATCATGAAGATTATTTCTATCAGGTCGACGAGGAATACCGAATAGAGGATTCTCCCAATTCTACAATTAAAATTTTAAAATTCAGCTGAAAGGGCCGGACATATGTTGCTAAGAAAGATTTTTAAAGGGAGTGTTCGCGAAAAATGAAAGAAGGGTATAGGCTTAATGCGATAAAAAAGCGCTTTTGATCGCTACGAAATCTTACTTCTATCTGTTGCGATTATAAGGAGAAAATTGTTAAAGCGACTCACACCTAAGAACGCAGCGTACATACAAATTTGGAAAGATGCAACATTCAACTCGGATCGAAAACAAATCATTCAGATATTGCAAACAATAGTCATCAATTATTTTTCGACGCATTCGTATATAGTTAATATTTTATAATATGTTTTAATTAATTTGTTATGAATTTGATTATTTCTCTTGTCGCTTGCGCAAATATTTCGAAATCCGTTAATTTGTTAAAACGTTTTCTAAAAATAAAATATTATAAAATATGAACTATATACAAATGTGGCGAAAGATAATCGATGACCATAGGGTGTAATATCTGAATGATTTGTTTGAAATTAAATTGATTTTTTTTACGGTCTAAGTCGTATGTTGCAATTTTCTGAATTTGTATGGGGAGTATGAGACGTCTTTAACAATTTTCTCCTTATAGACGCAACAGATAGAAGTAAGATTAGTAGCGATCAATAGCGCTTTTTTATCGCATTAAGCCTATACCCCATTTCATTTTTCGCGAACACTCCCCTTTAAATGTCTTCATTGAGTTCAAATTCTCGATTAAGAGAAATTTTTGATAGAGTTCCGACCTCTGAGACTGAGGTTACACCATTTGAAATATCGGAAAATTAGAAATTTTATTTTTACAATTTTAAAACAATGATCTGCCAATTACCTACGTTTAAATCGACATAACTTAGTTCTAACAGGTTAAACTAGTTGAACTAATCCTATTCTCTGTTAAAGGGACTGACAGCGTAATTTCAAGTAAGAGATGGGAATGCCCGAATTATACGGTACCCTAAAACGGTAAAACCTTTGTCTGATAAAGTATGAATAAGATATCAATGTTTTTACTTAACTTAACTATTTATTTTCCGTTGTGGTTTCTCTGCAAAATTGACTGAAGTAATTATTGCTAATAAGGAACAATGGAGAAATTCCCAGAAATTCACAGAAATTAACACTTTTTGGGTCAGAAAAACGAATTTATCTTCCACATCATTTATCAGAGGCCGAATTTAAAGAATTTGAGCGTCGGCTTAAATTTAAACCGCGGCTCAAATATGGTTGGTTTCGCTTAAAATTGTATTCTATATTTTAAGATTTAAGCCAGTGCTCAATTGAAACCGGTTTTTGGCGGATTTAAGACGAGGCTCAAGTTCATTAAATTCGGACACAGATTAAGTTTTCAAGTAACTCGGGCATTGCTATATTTGCGTCGAAGGTCACATAAAATTACGCCTGTACAGTCCGTTTAATCAGCCAAAGTTTCTAACCTTAATATATTCTAGAGAAAACTGAAGTCCCCAGTTCCAAGCAGAAGACGGGTTCAAGGGAGTCTCAGGGTTCCTTCGAGCCATACTTCGATCATGTTCACCTACACACGGATATATATTATATATGCTAATATTATCCCAAAAATTTAAATAATTTCCATTGTGTTGAGATAAAACATAAGACACCTTAAAGAGATAGTAGACTGCATTTTACGTGCTCCTCCATATAAAGTTAAAGGGTTTTAAAAATTACAATGAAATATTGTTTCTGTGTTTTCCGGGAAATAAATACTAGTATTACAGCTTGCAATTTGCTAACAATGCTTTTTAAAACTACTACTGTGTCTGCTTTTGAAATAAGGACCTTCATCTTTGCAGATCAGTGAAATAAAGCTGTAAATTAGACAAGGCACAATTAGACAAGCCACAATTGGACAGGGCACAATTGAACAAGCCACAAT